GAAAATACACCAGTAGGCATTCAATAACACAAATGCAGAAAGGATTTACTCAAAATGAAAAATTAAATTTAAGAAAAAGAAAACACCTCATATCTGTTAGAAGACAAGAAGAAAGCTTGTGTGTGTACCTATGATCCTAGTACTTGAAAGGCGGAGGCAGGAGGATCATGAATTCAGCCAGACCCAACTTAAAAGCAAAAATAAAATGGCAGAGTTATATTTCAGCATGCTAACGAAGTGGAAGTAGTCTAAGTGTGCGATCGGAGCTGCTGAAAAAATCTCAGGTTAAGAGTGCTTACTGCTCTTTCAGAAGATCTGGTTTTGGTTCCCAGCACCCACACAACCACCTATAACTCTAGCTCCAGGGGATCCCAACACCCTCTCCTGCTATCCTCAGCACCAAGCGTACATGTGGTATAGATACATACATGTTAGCAAACACTTGAACATGTAAAAATCAAGTATGATAATTAAAGGATAGAAATTGGCAAAAGGTATTTAAAACATAACCCAGCCTCGTGCTGTCTACAAGAGGCTTCCACTGCAAAGAGCGGAGCAGTTTGAAAGGGGAGGGTCTGGGGTGCAGACATGAGCCAAAGCAAACGAGAACCTTGTTCGTCTCAGACACGGTAAATGTAGAGCCAAGGAAACAGACAGTGGCTAATTTACCTAATTCGTTTTTATGACGCTAGTATTAGCTTGGTACCTAAAACACCGTAATACAAAGAAAAATAATACAGGTGAGTGACTGTGGATTTAAAAAAAGAAAGAAGCTTAAGGAAATAGGAGGTAATAGGATTCAGTTATACCTAAGACTTGTGAGCCATGACAAAGTGGTTTATTCCAGAGACCTCATAATGGTGTTGTCTGCAAATCTGTCAAGTCACTTCAGTGACAAAATGAAATAAGAAAGAGAAAAAAGCCACATATCAACTGATGCAGGAAAAGCATTTGGCACAAGTCAACACCATTCACAATTAAAACAGTAAGAAAATATGAAAAGGAAACTAAATTTTACAGAGTTTATAAAACCTGTTCTTGGTAACACTACACTGAATACTTTCCCCCTAAAATTGAGAACAGTTTTGTTGCCAACCCTGAGTTTGCTCCCTAGGACCCACATGGTAGAAGGAGAAAACCGACTCCTTCAGGTTTTTCTCTGACTTCTTTTGCAAACACACACACATTTTAGATGTAGTCATTTTTTAAAAAGTAGGTTGAACCATCCTTATTTATACATGGCTGACATAATTGTCCATAAAGAAAATACCAAGGGAGGTTTTGTTTTGTTTTATCTCTACAATTAACAAAGTAAGTCCAGCTGGATCAGGGGATACAAAATAAAATACAAAAAAAAAAAAAAATCCATTGAATTCCTTTACACTAGAGACAAACACATAGGCGCTGAAAGTAAAAATACAACCTCCCCGGGGCTGTAGCTCAGGACAGCTTGCCTACGGTGTGTGGCTCTGCATTTGATCCCCAGTATAGCAAAAGCAAAAAAAATAGCGGGGCCAGAGAGAGCTCAAGTGCTTAAGAGCACCAGCTACTTCTCCAAAGAACTTGGGTTTTGTTCCTAGTACCCACATGGTACGTAGCTCAGGATCTGATGCCATCTACTGGTCTCCGCAGGTACCAGGTATGCATGCAACACACATCCATGCAGGCAGAACACTAATGCACATTAAAAAGTAAATATTTAAAAAGAATACCACTTGCAGATTTTTAGCTCTATTTTTATAAAGCAGCCATTTTAAGCACAGTTGACCTTTTAGACACTCAGTGTTAGAACCACCTCCAGTTTCAAAACACGCCACCCCAAGTGAAATAGGTACAAAGGTACTGCCTTCCCTTCTCCCACCCGTCAACCCCTAGTCTGTTCCCTGTGTATGTGGGTTTAGTTAGCATGTATATTTTATGTAAATGGGATCATTCAAGTGCCTGTTTGTGTAGCTCCTCCAGTCCAGTGTCCTCCAGCTACGCTTACCATAGTAAGCATCTCAGTCTCATCCCTTTCTACGAATGAACGCCACAGCTGTCTGCATACACCTCATTTTGCTTAGCCTTCATCCCATCGTGAGCATCTGGACTGTTCTCATATTCAATTATGAATATTTCTTCCAAGAGCATTTAAGTACCCATAGTTTTAAAACGTTTTTGCACACATTTTTGAGTACCACTTTCTAATTCTTTTGTATTTACAGCTAGGAGCAGAATGATGGAGTGTATGGTAATTCTATATATTTACCTCTTAAAGGAATCACCACAATTTCCCACTTGGGCTGGAACATTGTAATTTTGACCAATCATGTATACAATGGCGTTCCAAAAAAATGAAAATGCTAGCTATGCCTATAATCACTGCACTTGGGAGGCCGAGGAGGAAGGATTGCGAGTTCAAGGCCCATGAGGACCACACAACGAGCTTCTATTTCAAAATGATAGCTAAAAAGCAGCCAAAAACCATGAAGATGTTTAAGTTTCAATCTTAGAAAACTATAAGCAGGGTGTGTGTGGTAAAAACTACAAAACACTAGTGAAAGGAATCAAAGTGAACATATGTGAATGGGTAACAAATGTAACAGTCATGCGTGGGAAGACCCGAAGGAAATATTCGCAGGGAAGACCCATAGTAAAATTGCTGCTTCTTCCTGACCCCGGATCAGAATGAACAAACTGCTATCAAAGTTGCGACATGACTCATTTTTCTAAAACTATCAGAGTGGAACAGGTAAAGCAATTTCAGAAGAGAGAGAGAATAAAATGAGAACTCAGTATAATTGCTGGTGAACGGATATCTGCATAGAGCAATGGAGCAGAGAAGAGAACACAGGAAAGACCCTGGAGAACACACCAAACTGACTTCTGGCCAAGGTATGCGAGAACGATATAGCTAACGATCCTGAATCAGCGATGGAGATACAGAGAAGAAGGATTCTAGAGTCTAAGAACAAACGTCTGCTGTGACCTGGCCAGCCATGGTTGCACAGACTATAACCCCAGAATTTGGGGAGGACCATAGTGTGAGGCCAGTTTGGGCTCTATAACAAGACCCTGCTAAAGGAAAACAAGCAATCCCAAACCTATAAAACTATTAGAAAAAAGACCTAACTGTCATATTTAAGATCTGGGAGTTGGCAGAGTTCGGATTTGTCTTTAAAAGCATTATTGGTCAAAGGGAAGGTGAGTAAGCTGGACCTAGCAAAACGAAAGGGCAAGCAGGGGTCTGGGGTATGTAGCTCGGTTGCTAACAGCCCTTGCCTGGCATGCCCTGGGTTTGGTCGATGGTGTCTGACCATAGTGGCATATGTCTTCAATCCCAGCTCTTAGGAAGCAGACTAGATGTTCAAGGTCATCTTTGACAATCTCATAAGTTTTAGGACAGCCTGGAACATGGGAAACCCTATCAGAGAGAGGGAAGGAAGCAGAGAAGGGTGAGGAAGAAAGAAAAGGCAAAGAATAGGAGAAAATATTTACAAGCCACACATAGAAACTCTCAACCTACAGCACTTAGAAAGGGGACAGGAGACACGGAGACAAGTTTTCCTCAAGAGAATATACAGATGGCAAGTAGGCCCGTGCAAGAAGTCCAGCAGCAGCTAAAACCACAGCGATGTCTCACCAGGACAATGTCGCTGGCCAGACGGCCAAGACAAAACAGCACCAGAGGCTGGTGAAGAGCCGTGAAGCAGCCCCTTGGCAGGTTGATGGTGGGAATGGGAAATGCTTTAGCTATTATGGAGATAGCTCAGCAGGCTGTTGAGAAATTGACCTGCAGAAACGAAGACTTCGGCTGACACACAGGCTTGTGTGGGAATGAGCAGAGCGGCTTCCTCACAGTAAACAAAGTAAAATTTGCCCAGTCGTCTGTGAACAGGTGAGCAGTGCTTTTTTATAAAGCCACAGGACTCATATCTTGAATAGTGCCCAACAATAATAATAAAAGGGAAGTAAGTATTGATAGAAGCAATGATCTATGCAGATCCTTTCAGGATCATACTAAATGAAAACACAACAGTGAAATGCTATCCAGAGCTGGTGCGATAGCTCAGTGGGTAAAGGATCTGCTGCCAGATTTGAGTTCAATCCACTCCTAAATCCACACGGTGGAAAGAGAAAATCAACTCCTGCGAGTTGTTCCGTGACCTCCACATGTGCACCATGGTATGCATGAGCTTACACACTTAAACACACACAAAGAAAGGCCATACGGCATTTAAAATGTTATCCCAAATTCAACCTATGCATGATCCCATGTATTTAAGTCTTGAAAAATTATAGAAATGGGAACAAGTTTGCCGTTGCCAGAGACTGAGCAGAGGGCGGGATGATGTAAAGGTATGCTTCTGGTGGACCTGGTCTGTATGCTGACTGTAGTACTGTCTATTTTCTGCTTACCAAGTCTTTTGGGACCGTACATAGCTCCACAGGGCTAGGGGGAAATTGGGTTAAGGATGCATGGATCTGTGCACTACTTCCAAGTCTTCATTAATATACAATCCCCCGCCCCCCCCCCCCCAAAAGGCCACAAGAACAAGTAAGGAACAGCTGTCTCAAAAAAAAAAAAAAAAAGTGAATAGATTAAGCAAAAAACAGAAGACTAAATGCAAGCAATGAGCCAGAGGTGTCCCGTGCAAATGCACGGGTCCTGGGTCTCCAGCCCTTGGAAACAGTAGACTCTTAGAAGAAAGTTGTCCCTGTTGTGAAAGCACTGCGGCACACTGCCGGAGGAGCATCGTGGGCTGCACCCCTCCACCGCCCTCGCACGTACACCCTTACACACTGTGGCGAAGTTTCGCTTTTGCTTTTCTCAGAAGGCAGCCTTCACGCGAGTTTTCATAGCTGCGACTATATGGTCACGTATTCAAAAGCCCCGTTGATTAACTGTTAACAACGTTTAAAAAATATTTATGCGGAAAATGTGTTAGCATGTTAACAATTCCTTCACGTTACAGTAAATGAAAAAAAAGGCTCTAAAACGTTCAGGGTCAAGAGAAGACTTCACGACAGACGGGAAGAAAGCTTTGGTCTCTGAAAGTAGATGAAATTTGCTTAGTGGGCAGCTTCTTGCGAGGCACAGACTCCATTTAACAAGCCTTCCCGCCCCGGTCCGGGCATTGGTTGTGGTTACAGGCTCTGGGTGGCACTTTCAGGGGGCGGACCTTGGCTCTCAGCGGCCGTGGCAGAGCTGGCACGACGAGTTCCCAGTGTGTCACCCCTAGGCGAACTCTGAGGCCTGCCCACTACCGCTCCGCAGGGGCGGCTGGTCCAGGGCAGTGTGCCGCGGCTCTGGCGGGGGAAGAGTGACAGGGAACAGCGCCACGGCCGGTCCCCGCCTCGTCCGCCCGCTCCGCCCCATTTTCTCCCGGGAGCCCACCCGAGCCCGGGCGCGGCCAGGCGGAGCGACCGTGGTTCCCGCCAGTCCCTGTTCCCGGACCGCCAGCCGCTGTACCCGCTCTGACCGCCTGCTGCTGCTGTCCCTTTCTATCCGCGACCCTAATCCCGGGTTTCCAGCACTGCGGACCACCGCGCTCCCACGCCGCCGGAGTCAAAGTCCTGTCAGTTTGGTAAGTCACGGGGGTTGGTGCGAGCATGCTCTCCGGATCAGCTGAGGAAATGTAAGGCTGCTGTCGAAAAGTTCTGGCTGAAACCGGGCGGAGAAGCACCGCGAGCTCCAAATGAAGCCCAGGTTCGGAGGCGTGCATTCCAGAGACAGCGGAATCAAGGATCCCACTGTGATCTGAGGTCCCTATTCTCAGCCCGCCAGCCTGCAACTTAGAATCATCAAGTGTGAACCGCGCAGATCCAGATGACCAGACCATTCCACAGATTCCTGTCGGAATCGCTAGGCTATTGCTTCAGAACTGTCCGGGCAATTCCAATGTGCACGTAGGGGTTAGGAGCCAGAGACCTAAGGGTAGCCGCCAAAAGAAAGTGCCTTCTAAGTGGGACCTTCCTGAGTGCAGTCTTCAGACAGGCTGGCTGTTTCCAGGGACCTCCTAAGGTCCTGAGGTCGAGGGAGGACTTCCTTTGAGTTTCGTGGGATACAAAAGAAGGAAGCAAGACAATGCTTGCTTGGCAGGGTCGCCTTTAAGGGTGAAGCCAATGGTATGCCTGCAGGACAGAGTCTGACTGCTTCCTTAAATGCTTTAGATTTTAAGAATACCTGGAGATGATGATGGTGCACACCTTTAATCCCAGCACTCAGGAGGCAGAAGCAGACAGATTTCTGTGAGCTCAAAGGCCAGCCTGGTCTGCAAGAGCTAGTTCCAGGACAGGCTCCAAAGCTATAGAGAAACCACCTTGTCTGGAAAAACCAAACAAGCAAACAAAAAACCTGGACTGTCCAGGGTTAATTTCCAGGAAGTCTGTTGGAGAGGGGAGTCCCCCTGTTCGTACCTGGTAGTAGATGCCAGTGATTCTGATCCAGGAGCCACTGAAAAAAAATGGACAGGCCTCCTGGTATATGCTGGCCAGGGGAGAGGCAGGCTTAAAACCCAGGCCCTAGAGGGCCCTTTCAAAGGCTGCCAGATAGGTTTGGGTTTTGTAGCGTGGAGACCCAGTAAACCTGCTTCCAATCTTTGATTCTGTCACTTGTGATGTGATCTGCAGCAAGTTAAAAAGGACCACTCTGAGCCTCTCTTTTCTTCCTGATAAAGTCTGGACAGAGTGGGTAAGCCAACATTATCTGGTTCATGGCAGGGGCTCCGCTACGGGAAGACAGAGTAGTGGTGATTTATGTACCACAATTATCTATTTTATTACAGTGATGGAGTGTGTTCGTTCAGAAACTGTCTTCCTTAAAACCTCGCTCTCCTGCCCTTCCACACCAAATATATTTTTAAACAGTTGCTTTCAAGAACACTGGGCTGGAGTCAGCAGGACTCAACATTGATGCGGCACACATGACTCTACCACTGGCAACAGCCTGAGCCGTTTTGATGCGGCACACATGGCTCGCATGCTGGCGACAGCCAGAGACGTTGCACTTGGTGTTCTTGCTTTGCTCTTGACTGTTGGCTAGGGACTCTTTCATCAAAGACCAAGGAGTCAGGAATCTGTAGAAGAGAGTTCCAAAACCTGTCCTTACTGATGCCTGCCTCTTACCTGAAAGCAGCCCACTCCATTGGGATTGTCACTGCCAGGGTTAACAGCAGTAGCACTGTTTAGATAAGACATTCAAAATATAAACCGTGAAGCCACAGAGGCATGGAGGACAAGTGTCTGTAACTGTATGTGTGGTCATTGATATCTGCTTCAACCAAACATAACAAGGCTGTGTCTCTTATTCAAAGGAAAAGGTTCACTTCTGAAAATAGTTGGCATTTGATTTGTAGGATTTGAATTTTTAAACGACAGTTTCTTCTACGTTTTTCCTTTGGAGGGTTTTGGGCACGATGAAGTCAGGAGAGCTGATATGGACTTGCATGGCCTGTAGCAGCCTGCTCTTAGATGTCTACGGTTGTGAGTCTGTCTGCGGAGGCTCAGGGAGGGCAGGTGTTTCATCTAAATTTGACTCTGTATTAAGAGGGCGTAGTTGCTGTCTTTTATTTTAGCTGATGGAATTCAGCCAGAGCTGGAGCACTGGCCAAGACAAGACTTCCTGACTTGGATGCTTTACTTAAACTTGAATTTCATCTGGAATTGGCAGGCACCAAACAGTGGGCCGAGAGTTCTAGGCCAAGTCAGCTACAGGAGGCAGCTCCACCCTTCCCATGTACCTTCCTGCCAACCCATGGAGAGCAGTCTGTCATCTGATGGGGCCCTAGCCTTGCCTTTGATGCAACAGGGTCTCTAGTAAGAGATGCACTTTTTTGTAGCCAACAAGGCAACCAAGTGCCATGCTTCCTTGAAACCAACCGGCTACTCAGAAAACTCACCTTAGGATTTGTTTTTGCTGACAAGTAATTTTCCTCTGAATTACAGAAAGCTGTATTTTAAAGGACTAATAGATGGTTGAAGACAAGGGCCCAGGAAATGACCCAGTGAGCACCCGACTAACACTAGGTCTCGGCACATCGTCATCAGCGTTGCTACTGTTGTGTTTGGGACTCAACCCAAGACTTCGCAAATACTAGGCAAGAGTTCTGCCATTGTACTATAACCCTGCCCTCTTCTTTTAAAATCTTGAGTCAGGGTCTCACTAAATTCCCCAGGCTGTCCTTAAACTCCATCTGTCGCCCAGTGAGTCTTCAAACCGAGCTTACAGGTCCTACCACTTCAATCTCTGGGTAGCTGGGGTGGGGTTACTGGCCTGCATCCTGCTACGTATTTGTTTTAGAACGGAGATGTACTTACTCTTCTGTTGTGTTGTCCCCACCACATAGGTTAGGGTTGTAAGAAGTGTGGGGGTGGGGTGGGGGGTGGGGTAGTAGTTAATGACTCTGTGGATGCTTTTACAACCACGTGCCACTACAGAAGACAGTCACGTATTAATAAAGAAACTTCTTTGGTGGTAGGGGAGCTGTAAGAAGGTGAATTTTCCTTAGGAGAATATGTGTGTTATTTCTAATTCCTAGAAGACTGAAAATACAATAGACAAGAACTTCTGTGCTTCATGTTAACAAAATCCCATTTTCCCCCCTATGACCCATAGAGCAAACTTTCTGGAAGGAAGTAGGTAGGACGCTAGGCTTTCCTTTGGGGACAGGCAGTCTCTGCATACCACAGGACAATAGACCCTCCCTTGAGAGGGTATTCCCGGCTCCATTTAACGATGGAGTTTTAAATTTTATTGTATTGCTCTTTGTTTGAGGCAGGGTCTCACTAGTAACCTTGGCTATCCTGAAACTTCAGACTGGCGTTGAACTCCTACGGAGCCTCTTGCCTCTGCCTGCTGAGTGCTCGGATTGAAAGCAAGTATCGCTATGCCTGCTACAGTGGAGATTTCAAAAACATGCAACCGGGCTTGCTTCCTGGGTTTCAAGTGCAGGCTCATGATCTCTGTAAAGTAGATAACAGGGCTGTGGAAGAAACCTTGGGCTTTGGACTCATGAGTGTGTGTGTGTGGGGGGGGGTCATGCTATTACTTTGTTCCTTAGCTAAAAGTGGTGTCTTCGTTTGTAAAATAGGACATTCTTCCCAAACAGGGTGTTTTGAGCCAATGATGAGCTAATCTGTGAGGCTCCCTCCACCTCACCTAGCTTGCAGTAAGTGGTAATTACTATGGTGATAGTAATAATGATGGCCACTGTGGTTCCACGGCTGGTTTTACCATCTCCTCCTGTGACCTTGGCCTGGGCTCTGGCATCTGTAAAATTAGGGTCAGCACTCATCTGGAAGATCTGGGCTGATGCTCGGTTCGGTGATGAAGTGATGATGATGCGGTAGATTCCAGATAAGGTCCACAGACTTGCTGTGTGACAGGCTAGGCTAAGAGATGCAGGATGGCTTCTGGTTTTGTTTTGTTTTTCCCCTCACTTAGTCTTCCCAACAGCTCCAAGCCCTTAGTTGTATCTCCCATCTTCCAGGTAGGGGAGCTGAAGTCCCGTGAGGTTAAAGAACTAACCCCAAGTCAACAGTGCTCCACTCAGGGCTTGAAGCCAGCCCAACAAGCCTGGGTTCTTAAATTCTGCCTGGATGTTCAGTGGGACCCCGCCCTCTCCGCTGGCCCCACCCACCTCTCCAAGCTCCTATCTGTAATTAAGAGGTGTGTGCATATTTCCTGCAGAGCCGTGTTTCTGCCAGTTTAAGGAGTGGAAGTAGGAGCTTCCTCCTGTGCCCCTCAGATAACTTAAACCCCAACCATTGCTTGGACTGTAACACACACACACACACACACACACACACACGCGCAGAAACCCAACAGCCTTGTTACTGGTATAGACTTAACTTTATTAGAGTGTATTGTAATATTTAATTTGTGATAATGTCTCTTGAATGCAGTAAAATATGCCTTTATGGCAGGCAGGTGTGTGGGTGCGGGGAGCACAGAAACCTTACCAGGATGGGTCTCACGTGAAAGTGACAGAGTTTAAACTGTTCTAAACATACCCCAGTTTTTACATTTTTTATTTGTCTCCCCTATCCTTTACACCCCAATGGCTTGCTTCTCTTCTTGATATCTGGCAACCTTCCCAGAGGTTATGTGGGGTAGGGTGGGGGACGGAAGAGTGAACGGCAAGAGTAAGTGGCAGGTGCTTTAGCATATCTAATAAGGAAGTGGACATTTCCAGGGCTGTGAAGTGCTTTGCTGGCTCCTTAGCCTGGGAGGAAGACTGGCGTAAACTGTAAATCCTGGCTCTTCCTTGCTCTTTGGAGTTTCAGTTCTTCAACACGTTAACTCAACACCTACTATCATAAGATCTCCCTGGGAGAAAGGGTGTATTAATACTTGAGAACTGGGGTTATAACACAATGATAGAGTATGTGTCCAGAGTCCACAAGGTCCTGGGTTCAAGCCCCAGCACTACAAAACCAAACCTGAAAACATAAGGCTAGGGCATTGTTTTCACTGGGTCTGGCTGTGCTTACTTGTAATCCTGGCACCCTGGGGCGAAGCCTAGAAGAGAGTAGCTTTGAGGCCAGTCTGGGCTCTATAGAGTGTACCGCTAAAGGAGTCTAAAAG